CTCACGGTGCTCATCCCTCCGGCTCCCAATCATGTGACCACTGTGAGAACCAATCACTGTGGTCACATGATACAAAAGCTGCACCATCTCTGGACATTAAGCCCCGGTTCACACTGATGTGAGTTATCATGCAACTCGATGCACCTTGCAAAACAAAAAAAAAAGTCGCATGACAAGTCCAAATATTTTAATTTTAATTGGTGCTGTCCAGGGGCGGACTGACCTGACCATTGGAAACTCGGGCACTCGGGCATGCATATGGAAGCCAGCCAGAGCAGTTCATTGTTCGGGGTTTACATACACCTTCACCCCCTCTCATCATTTCAGAGATGTGTGTCACTCAACTACTGACTGACTGACTGGCTGACTGACTAACTAACTACCTGATTAAATTGAGGTCAAGCCGCTTTTCAAATGAGCTCTGAAGCTAAATTAAAATGACATCAGATTTCAGCTCAAGGTTAAATGGTCCCATTTACATATTCAGTACTTGGGGGGAATTTCAAGTGCACCGCTTACAGGTCGTTCAACGCCAAATTCCTCACTAACCTCACCAGCGTTGTTCTTGTTTTTTCCTTGTTATAGTCTTACTTTTATTATTATTATTATTTAGTGCTGTTCATCTTAACTACTGGAGAGTTTTTAATACTTTCCAGTCTTGTTATTTATAAATTGTTACTACAGAGACAAACCAGCCCAGCTTTGGATGATGATGTTGATTATTGTCATTATCATTATACTATTTTATTCATTTTTCATTATTATTATTATTATTGTTAATATTTTAATTATTGTCATTATCATATGTTTTTATTTTATATTATTATCATTATTACTATTTTTTTTTTTTTTTAGTAGTTGTATTGTTGTTGTCATTGTCATTATCATTGTTATAATGTAGTGACGATATTATTAAATTTTTTGTTATTATTTTAAATTATTATTATTATTATTATTATTAGTAGTAGTAGTAGTAATTTATTTATTGCTATTATTATTATTGTTGTTGTTGTTATTATCACTTTTTATTTATTTATTAGTAGTAGTATTGTTGTTGTCATTGTCATTATCATTGTATTATTTATTATTATTATCATTATTATTATTATTATAATCAGTGTATTATTATTATTTACTGTAATTATTTGAATTATTGACATTATCATTAGTATTTTTTTTATACTATTATTATTAGTATTATTATTGTTGTTGTTGTTTTTTGTATTATTATTTGTAGTAGTATCTTATTTATTGTTGTTAATAATAATAATAATAATAATAATAATAATAAAACACTACTACTACTACTACTACCAGGGGCGGACTGACAACTCATGGGACCCCCGGGCAATAGGGGATCATGGGGCCCCTGTGTCCTTGCCCAAACTTAAAAAAGCCTATGAAAAAGGTACCAGATGCATCTCATGGGGCCCCCTAATGACCCCGGGCCCTTGGGCAGTGCTCGAGTTTCCAAATGGTCATTTTTCCGCCCCTGATTTACTACTACTACTACTACTACTACTACTACTAACTACTACTATAATAATAATAATAATAAATTTAAAATAATAACAATAATAAAAAAAAACAATAGTACATTATAACAATGATAATGACAATGATAACAACAATACTACTACTATTAAAAAAACAAATAAAATAGTAATAATGATGATAATAATAATAATAATAATAATAATAATTCATTATTACTATTTTATTATTGTTATCATTTAAAATAAGTAGTAATTATCTAATTTATTGTTGTTATTAGTAATAATAATATTTATTACTATTTTAAAATAAAAAATAATAATAATAATAATTTAAAATAATAACAATTATAACAATAATGACAATGACAATTAAAATATGATACTGAAAAACAAAACAACAATAACTACTACTAAAAGAAAATAATAAATAATAATATATAATAATAATATCATTATTACTATTTTATTTGTTTTTTTTTAGTAGTAGTATTGTTGTTGTCATTGTCATTATCATTGTTATAATGTAGTATTGTTATTATTTTAATTATTGTTATTATCATTGCTATTAATTTTTAATTATTATTATTATTATTATTAGTAGTAGTAGTAGTAGTAGTAGTAATCATTTATTTATTGCTATTTATTATTATTTATTGTTGTTGTTATCATTATTAGTTTTTTATTTATTTATTATTAGTAGTAGTATTGTTGTTGTCATTGTCCTTATCATTGTTATAATCAGTGTATTATTATTATTATTAATATTACTGTTATTATTTGAATTATTGACATTATCATTAGTATAATTTTATACTATTATTATTAGTATTATTATTGCCATTGTTGTTATTTATTATTATTATAGTAGTAGTAATAAATAATAATAAATATTAGTGGTAGTAGTATTGTCATTATTGTTGTTACTATTATATTTATTAGTTGTAGTAGTAATATTGTCATTGTTATTATATTTTTTTTTGTCATTGCTAACTCCTCACTAAACAGAGACAAACACAGCCAAGATTTGTTCTTCTAGTTCTTTTTCTTGGCATTATGTTATTATTATTATTAGTAGTAATATTTAGCACTGTTCAGCTTAGGCCTTGTTTACAGTAGCTGTGCTGCGTCTGGTTCGGATCTCTCTTCAGAGAACATTTGACATCCAGTGAGGAGGCGTTGGATCACCTCCTGGCCACCTGCTTTAACCCCTTGAACGCCACACTTGCATGTCCATTCAACTGAATGAGCTGCGTACAGGTGGTGGTACTGCCTACTGAACACTACAGTGGGGATTATTTTTGTTGCGCCGTGATGCAAAGCATTGTGGCTGCGGCATATGTATATACTCCTCATCCACTGCCTTTACAGATAAAGGGGGAGCTGTTGGGGGTGGTCAAACAGTGGCTCAACCATGTGGTTTTACTGCCTCTGCTAGTGTAAACGAAGTCTTAGTTACTGCAGAGCTTTTAACCTCTTCGCACTGACGCCTCCGGGCCCTTTAAGAACTTCTAGATGCCAGGAGGCAGAGGCAGGCATTTGGGCCATGTGACATTGTGATTGGCTGTCACAGCGGTCACATGATCAGAAAGCTGCTGATGGCAAGTATGCATGGGGAGCTTGTCGATCCCCACCGACTTCCGTGATGAAAGCATGCAGAGAGCACACTGTCAGCGTGGTAAGTCATTTATACAGGGGCACAGGGGTGTGAAAGCCCACCCGCCAAGAGCCCCCATATATACAGACAGCCAACACAAATTGATTAACCACTTCCAGTCCGGACACTTTCACCCCCTCCCTGTCCAGGCCAATTTTCAGCTTTCAGCGCTATCACACTATGAATGACAATTGCGCAGTCATGCAACACTGTACTGTATGAATTTTTTTTGTATTTTTTTTGAGACAGATAAAGCTTTATTTTGGTGGTATTTATTCACCACTGGTATTTTTATTTTTTTTGCTATGTAAATGAAAAAGTCCAAAAATTTTGAAGAAAAAAAAGTGTTTTTTTCTTATACAATTTTGCAAATAAAAATAGTATTTCATCATAAATCTTGACCAAAATGTATTCCGTTATCTTTTTAGTAAAAAAAAAAATAACCCAAATTAGTTTAGAACCAAAAATTATAATTTTTAAACATTTTTTTTTACATTTTTATTTTATTTTTTATATTATTATTATTTATGTTTTTTTTTTCTTACATACTGTCACCCTAGCAGTACAGTGTCACCATGGTGACACTATACTACTTGTGGGGGGTGATGAAGATTGTTTTTTTTTTTTTTTTTTTTACACTGATTGCTTTTTTACACCCATAAAGGCTGTAAAAGCAATCATTTCTCCTTCTCTCTGGCTGCATTCTTGCAGCCATTGAGAACTACTGTGTGAGCTGTGATTGGTCACAGTTTGTCACATGGTACAAAGGTTGTTGTGAATAGCCCTTGTACCATGTGACCTCTGTGATCATTCACAGATTTCACACGTAGTAAGCAATGATATCAGAAGTGACATCTTGCTTACTACTCTGCATGTGATCACTGATTGGCCAATCAGTGATCACATGATCGGGACCTCACACAGAGGTCCTGTACGACGATCGGTGTTCCACTGTGTCCGGGGGACACAGCGGGCACCGGATCGCGGTGCTGCGCACTCCAAAGGGAGCGCATACAAGGAGGGGGCGGGGAGGCCATTTATAAACAGCCACCTGGCCCTGCACTGCCACCGCCCGGTCGTTTATATACAACAGCTGGACGGGAGGTGGTTAATACCCATTTTTTATTTTAATTCCTTACAGAGACAAAAGATAAAATATCCAAACCAGCTTTTGCTTTAATACTTATCTTCTATCCAGAGATTTCTACTGCAAGTCGTTTTTTTTTCTACCACTGGATGTCCTCAGTCTGATGGCTGGCGACATTCAACTCACTTCTTCTATATTGAAATCGTCTGGCACCCACCACCAGCCTGTGACTGGGCAGTGAAAAGAGAAGCAGCACAGTGATGAGCTCACCTCTCTGTCACTCTCCTCCTATCAGCATGCTTCTTGTCAGCGCAAGAACGGTTTAGCTTCTTGTGCTGCTTCTTCCTCTCACACAGCAGCCCTTCTGTACAGGGATTGCAAGAGGCTGATATCAGGTCACATTAGGGTACTTACACTACTTGTATTTAAATAATACATTTAAAAATATTTTGTTGACTAGTGATGGGCCGAACCCCCCACTGTTCGGTTTGCGATCCCAATTTGCAAGTTGAGAACGGGACCTTAAAATCCTCTTTAAAACCACTTCCCATCCAGCCCATATATATAAATGGCTGGATGGGAGAGGTGCAGAGGCATGTGGCCGTTTATAATCGGCCTCCCCGCCCCCTGCTTGTGCAACGGTCCCTGGGAGCTCCTCCGGACACAGTGGAACACCGATCGTCGGACAGGACCTCTGTGTGAGGTCCCAATCATGTGATCACTGATTGGCCAATCAGTAATCACATGAATAGTAGTAAGCAAGAAGTCACTTCATGACATCATTCCTTACTACCTGTGAAATCTGTGAATGATCACAGAGGTCACATGGTACAAGGCTATTCACAACAGTCTTGTACCATGTGACAAGCTGTGACCAGGGGCGGACTGACCACATTTGGAAACTCGGGCACCGCAAAAATGGGCCCGGGGTCAGTAGGGGGGCCCCATGAATGCTCTTGGCTTTTACCAGTTTTTCATAGGCTTTTTTTAGTTTGGGCAAGGACACAGGGGCCCCATGATCCCCTATTGCCCATGAGTTGTCAGTCTGCCCCCGGCTGTGACCAATCACAGTTCCCACAGTATTTCTCAATGGCTGCAAAAATGCAAAGAGAAGGGGAAATGATTGCTTTTACAGCCTTTATGGGTGTAAAAGCAATCAGTGGAAAAAAAAAATCTTCAAACCCCCCACAAGTAGTACAGTGTCACTATGGTGACATTTACAGCTAGGGTGATAGTATGTAAAAAAAAAAAACATAAATAATAATTTAAAAAAATAAAATACAAATTTAAATTTTTTTTTTTAAAAAATTATAATTTTTGGTTATAAACTAAATTTTGGGTTATTTTTTTTTACTAACAAGATAGCTGAATAAATTTTAGCAAAGATTTATGAAGAAAAGATTATTTTTTGCAAAATTTTATAAGAAAAACACTTTTTTTTTCAAAATGTTTAGACTTTTTCATTTATATAAAAAAAAAAAAAAAATCCCAGCGGTGAATAAATACCAGCAAAATAATTTGTTTTTCTGTCTAAAAAAAATGTTTAAAAAAAAATTCAGTGTTGCATGACCGCGCAATTGTCATTCAAAGTGTGATAGCTGAAAGCTGAAAATTGTCCTGGACTGGAAGGGGGTGAAAGTGTCCGGACTGGAAGTGGTTAAATAATACATTTAACAATATATTGATGACTAGTGATGGGCCGAGCACCCCCCCTGTTTGGTTTTTGATCCCAAGATGAGAACGGGACCTTAAAGTCCTCTTTAAATCTGATGATAGTCTATATATATTTTTTGGAATCCTTCTTTATTTTTCATCAGTGCCACTTATAAATACGGTTGTCTTTCTGCAATCTGGCCTGTGTCTAGTAGCTCTGTAATTATGGGGAGGTTAACTATAACGTCCTCCAATTTGAGGATAAGGCATTATCTGAGATCTAGAGGATATTAGCCCAAAATTACACAATAACAAATGTCTCCTTGTGCAAAATCATTCGCACTCCTAAACCCAGAGTAATATCTGATTAACCTTTTGCCGCAGCTGCCTGACATTGAGTGTTATTGCCTATAGCTTCATATGAGCATGGACTATATGAAAGCCACTTCATTTTATTTGCACACCGCGATTCGCCCCTTATCTCTCAGGTCACATGATGCTCCTCGCACATCTCTAAGCTGGATTGAATGCTTTTTTGACTCAAGGACTAAGCAATACTTCAAGCGTCGTGTTTCAGCTGTCAGTCAAGTTCTCAATCTGCCAAAGAGTGAAGACGCCGAGTACGAGGAGTGAGATAAGTGTGTAAATCTATCAGTTACAGAAACGAGGGCTAAGCAAAATTAAGCAAATTTAATTACGTGATTGCAAGGAAACAGTGATAATCCCGGGGGAGAAAATTTCTCATTGGCTGGTACAGCCGAGGCTTCCTTTTCACTTGGAAAATATGACATTTTAAAATCACTTATTAATCAGAATGGAACTTATTTTTCAAAAAGATATATATACAGTTAGGTCCTGGGGCGGACTGACAACTCATGGGGCCCCCGAGCAATAGGGGATCATGGGGACCCTGTGTCCTTGGCCAAACTCAAAAAAGCCTATGAAAAAGGTACCAGGGGCATCTCATGGGGCCCCCTACTGACACCGGGCCCTCGGGCAGTGCCCGAGTTTCCAAATGGTCAGTCCGCCCCTGGTTAGGTCCATATACAGTATATTTGCCCACAATTTTTTTTCGGGTATTTACAAAAACATATTCAAGCTATACAGGGTGATTGAAAAGTAATGCAGGCCATAGACAGGTCAAAAACCGGCCGTTTAAAAGAAAAAAAAAAAAAAAATCGGTCATTCAATAGGCCGACGTTATCACCAACAGTAAAAAAAAAATGGCCCGTCTATGGCCGGCATTTAATTACTTCTGTCCCTTGCAGAGAGCTCCGCTATTATATTTGACATGAAAAAGTATAGCGGCTGTAACATTGTATCTATTTGTATCTATTTCGGATACAGATGTTTTTATTCGGATACAAATAGATACAATGTTGCAACCGCTATACTTTTTCATGTCAAATATAATAGCGGACTGGAATTCTTCTTCTTTTTCTTCTTCTTTTTCTTCTTGCAGATCATGGCTCATGCGCAGATTTTTTATCAATAAAAAGATCGGCCAATTTGCCCATCATTGCCGTGAAAATTGGCCGATCGGCAAAATCTGCTGATTTTTTTCCAACTTTACAGATAAAAAAAATGTGCCAAAATCCCGAAAAATGGCCAACCAATTAACCCACTAATGGGGTAAAAATCAGCCAATTTTTTTTCGGTTGGAAAAATTGGCCAATTTTCGACCAGTCTACGTCCTGCATAACTCATTATTTTAAAAATCTTATAATTTTTATTTTTTAATCAATATTTTTACAAAAAATGAATATGAGAAGAACACACATAACATGGAGTTTTATTTAAAATTCCTCTTGAGCACAGTTCATACACAGTAAAAAGAGAGGCCACTTTCCCTTGCTGCTTGTTGAATGGACTTTTTTGAGCTCTGAGTGAATATTTCTTGAATTGTTCTCACTACCTCCTGGTCACAGGCATTGGAAGGGCGACCACTTCTTTGAGCATCCATTACAGAACCTGTCGCCATGTGTTTTGCTTGACAGTTCTTGATGGTCTTTGCATCTCTCTGAGCATGTTTTCCTTTGATGGTCCTCCACCATCTTTGCAGTTGAACAACTGATTTCCAAACTTCGTAGCGTGCCGCTAACTGGGCATGCTCTTGTACAGTTAAACGTCTGGACATCTTTATGGGGCTTCGAATTTTAAAACAAAATAATCAATCTGAAAAGAAAAACAAAAATACAGATTTAATTGTCATAGATTAAGGAACATACATTAAAGAATTGAGAAAAAAAAGTAACTTCATATAAAAAATGTATAAATAGTTTAAAATAGGGAGTTACTTTTCAATCACCCTGTAGTTACAGTGCATCCAGAAAGTATTCCCAGCGCTTAACTTTTGCCATGTTTTGTTACAGCCTTATTCCAAAATGGATTAAATTATTATTTTTTCCTGAACATTCTGCAATCAATACCCCATAATGATAATGTGAAAGTAGTTCATTTTGAAATCTTTTTAATTTATTAAAAAAAAAAAAACACATGTACATAAGTATTCACAGTCTTTGCCCATCACACAAAAAAATTGAGCTCTGGTGCATCCCGTTCCCACTTATCATCCTTGAGATATTTCCACAACTTGATTGGAGTCCACCTACAGGAAATTCAGGTGATTGGAAATGATTAGGAAAGGCATAAACCTGTCTATAGAAGATCCCACATTTAACAGTGCATGTCAGAGCACAAACCAAACCAAAACCGTGAAGTCCAAGGAATTGTCTGTAGATCTCCAAGACAGGATTGTATCAAGGCACAGATCTGGGGAAGGGAACAGAAAAATGTCTGCAGCATGTAAGGTCCCAATGAGCACAGTGGCCTCCATCATCCATAAATGGAAGAAGTTTGGAACCACCAGGAATCTTCCTAGAGCGGGCCGCCTGGCCAAAATGAGCGATCGAGGGAGAAGGGCCTTAGCCAGGGAGGTAACCAAACACCTGATGGTCACTCTGAAAGAGCTCCAGTGTTTCTCTGTGCAGAGGAGAGAACCTTCCAGAAGAACAACCATGTCTGCAGCACTCCACCAATCAGGCCTGCATGGTAGTGTGGCCAGACGGAAGCCACTCCTCAGTAAAAGGCAAATGGCAGCCCGCCTGGAGTTTGCCAAAAGGCACCTGAGGGACTCTCAGACCATGAGAAACAAAACTCTCTGGTCTGATGAAACAAAGATTGAACTCTTTGGCCTGAATGCCAAGCGTCATGTCTGAAGGAAACCAGGCACCGCTCACCACCTGGCCAATATCATCCCTACAGTAAAGCATGGTGGTGGTAGCATCATGCTGTAGGGATATCTTTCAGCGGCAGGAACTGGACGACTAGTTAGGATCAAAGGAAAGATGCAGCAATGTACAGAGACATCTTTGATGAAAACCTGTTCCAGAGCGCTCTGGACCTTAGACTGAGGTGATGGTTCATCTTTCAACAGGACAACGACCCTAAGCACACAGACCACATAACAAAGGAGTGGCTACGGGCCAACTCTGTGAATATCCTGAAGTGGCCCAGCCAGAGCCCAGACTTGAACCCGATTGAACATCTCTGGAGAGATCTGAAAATGGCTGTGCACCGACGCTCCCCATCCCACCTGATGGAGCTTGAGAGGTGCTGCAAAGAAGAATGGGAGAAATTGCCCAAATTTCAAGCTTGTAGCATCATGCTCAAAATGACTTGAGGCTGTAATTGGGGCTAAAGGGGCTTCAACAAAGTATTGAGCAAAGGATGTGAATACTTATGTACATGTGTTTTTTTTAATAAATACCAAAGATTTCAAAACAAACTTCTTTCACATTGTCATTATGGGGTATTGTTTATAGAATGTGGAGGAAAAAAATGAATTTAATCAATTTTGGAATAAGGCTGTAACATAACAAAATGTGGCAAAAGTTAAGCGCTGTGAATACTTTCTGTATATAATGGATATGGGCTGAAAGTGCACACTCTCAGGTTTAATTTGAGGGCATGTACATCCAAACTGGAGGAAGGGTTTAGGAATCACAACTCTTATAATTGTGCCTGTGTCCAAATATATATGGACCTAACTGTATATGTACACAGTGCTCAGCATAAATGAGTACACCCCAGAAGACTTGTCAGAAAAACTTTCCTTTCCTTTCAGAATCAACATTTTCAATGGGACATTCTACTACAAAATACTCTCACAAATACGGGCCACTGATTGGAAACAAGATTTGTTAATTTGCACACACAAAAAAGTATTTTTCCTAACAAATTCATTCAAGACCACATTGCAAAAATGAATACACCCCAATGAAAGTTAGAGGCCTCTTTCACACGGGCGTTCTGTA